GGACCCCATCAGACTGCTTTTAAACCACATCACCATACCAAGCTTTTCCTCTCCTTACCTATAAGCTACTTGTTCCTGAACACCAGGCCTGGCATCCAAGCCGTGTTCACATTTCAGAGAGCCCTGCAGACAGCTGATTGATGAGTTCCACTAAGACATTTCCTCTGCTGCTCTAAAAACGCCTTCACTGGCTCCACAGGAACAGGAACTCTGCCGGAGCGGACTGTTAAAACCCTGAGACTTTTATGCTGCCTTACGAAAAATGGAGTTTGAGGCATTTCAGTGGAGACAGTTGATTATTCAGGAGTTCATTAAGGATTCAGAATTGGGTGGCTCAAGATGCAGTTTGTGTTCACGGTCCGTTGAAAACCTAGCAAAGAAATAAATGTCTACGCACTCAGACTGTGAGCACGAGGCATGCGTCTCATAGAGCCTGCAGTGCTTTTTGCTTTACTATTCCAAAAGCACTAACAAGAGGAAGGCTGTGTTGACTCATTTATGTTGTGTTCAGTTTGTGGGTACATAGTCATAAACAGCAATTTACAGTATAAAGAACGTATCACTCATTTGCTATCAGTGTACAGAGAGGATCTACACACAGACGTAGGAATGAGCGAGTTGAGAACATTGTACTTTGTCAGCGCCAGTTTCATGCAATTTGAACGGAGTGTTCGATTCCCATGCACTGTATCGTTTTCCTTTCATTCACTTTTTTATTCAAAATTAATTTCAACATTTATTAAAAGCGCAATGAGAGTAGTTTCAGCTCCACACGTTCACACAGCACACTGTCACAGGTATGGTTTAACAAACTCTTTTCATTGCGTCACACACTGAAGCAGAAAGCTGAAGTCAAAACTATAAAGGGAAGGGATGAAACGCGCTGATGTATATTTCCAATAGAGCTTACCTACTTAGTAATACAAGAAAAAATCTACAAAAAAATCTATAGCATTACTATTGTTATCATAGAGGAGGGTTTATTTTTTTAAGCGTAATAATATATGGGAGAATATGGTGTTTATAGAAAGCAATTTTACACTAAGCTCGTCAGTTCATGTCATTTCATGTTGTACTTATACATATGCAGCTTTTATAAAAGACACGCGAGGATGTTTTCTTTTTTTGCCCAGAGTACAAGTAACGCATGTCTGTGCCTGCAAATAGTCATTCGGAGCAGTTGGTGAAGCTCATCTAAAACCCACCCACCCCCACCCCCACAGCAAGACCGTCAGAATTGTGCTTCTGTAGTAAGATGATCAAAGATCTCGACAGGCCACCAAGTCAGTGTGGAAGGAGCTCAGAGACAGGGCTGGCATTAACCTGAGGAAGAAAGTGCAAATTCTCTTGTGAGCATTTCCAGAGTAAGGCAAGAAATTTTAAGAATGTGTTTGTTATTATAGATGCATATAGATGCATTCTTTCAAACCCGAGACTCATCCTAATAAGAACATTTAATTTTTTTACTTTTCTTCTTCACTACCCGTAAAGCCAGTCTTCCCAGAACTGACAGCTGTTGTTTTAAGTTTTTAAGGAAAATATTTATCCTTGTACTTTATCCACAGCTTTTATTTTGAAAATCTAGTTTCAATAACTTGATTTTCAATTAAAGTTTAGTCAATTGAAGTTTAGTGGCCATAAATGATGTGCTTATTGTTCATCTCCTGCTTTCCTTGTGTTTGCTGAAATAAAACAACTGTACCTGGTCTTAAAACATCAAAAAGGAATTCATGCTGTAAAATGGAAAATTATAATTTTTTAGCACTTAATGTGAAAGTTGCATTGTAGCTGCTGAGACGGCGTGGTGTGAATAGAATAACCATTTTCATTATTTAAGTAGTTACACAAATAAAATAATTATTTAAATTCTCTATGTTGTTTTTACCATTGTACTGTATGTGACAATTTTGTATTCCTGTATTGTAAATAAAAGTAGGGATAACTTGGTTTCTCTTCAGAAATATCAATATGTCTATTAAAATGTATAGCATGTCTGAAATATTTGTCTCTCTTGTTTAAGATGTTTAAAAAAAAGTATCTATTTTTAAAATGATTTTCTTATATAAATTTTCTAATCAGTTCATAGTGTGTACTATAACATAAAAAATTTTTAACAGTTAAAATTGACCAACTTGGAGCAACATAACTATAAATGTAACTATTAGGAGTGAAAACATTTCATGAATGACTTATGAAGGAGTGGTACATCCATTAAAGGGTTCCCTATTCAATCAGAGCTTGGTGAAAAAGGAGCAACCTTCACAGATGACTAGGGATGGGTATCGGTTCTGATATAAAATGGTAGTAACCAGACCGGAAAGCAGCGCACATTTTGGTGCTTTATTTCTGTGCTTTTTTTTCCTGAGATGTCATACACTTTAGATTCTAGCCAATCATTTTACGTTTCCAAGGATAGTAGGCGGGCCCAGGTACGTACGTTCTTTTAGAGCAGAGCTACAGATTAAAAACGCCCAAGGCGAGGCGGTCAAACTCTGGCTGTACTTCACAGCAAAAGATGCAAACTCAGCAGCCTGCAACAAGTGCTATAAGGTGATACTGTGCAAAGAAGGTAACTCGACGAACCTGGCGACGTATAGCATTTTGTTAAAAGCCGAGAAATGCGCCGTATTTGATAGCTTGCTGCGAGACCTCACACCG